AGTAAACAATATATATAGGAAAATTACCAGATTTTTGAGAAGTAATATACCTTTTGTGAACTATTTAGCACACAAATAATGTCAAATTAGTGACTAAGGATCAATAGAGAGACTACATCTGCGGGAAACCCTAATCAAGATAGTTGAATTGTTAGTTTTCATGAGCACCCCAGGTACATTAGAGAAAGTCTCTATACTATACAATTCAAAGCATTTTAGAAAGACTCTTGTATAAATAGTGATGCAAACCCACTTCCCAAATCAATGTGGGACAAAGGCTACTTTAAAGCATTTTCTCTTTATTTTTCCAACTCAAATGGGTCTACTTTGAGAATCAATATCTCATTCACCCATTATCCGTTTTGAGCGTACAATATATCAATCTCTTCGTCTTACTACAAAGAACTCGAATCCCACTTTGTTGAACCGACCCAAATCAAAAATGAATCTTACTAATAATTGTACCACAAAACAGCCACTTAAAATGTCATTTTAAGCTATTTTTCCCAACATCTATAGCATAGATTAAAGTTGAATGAAAACGAAAATGTACTCTCCTATGAGTTATCAAGTTCGAATATAAAATCTCTCATTAAACACTCCCATCGTTTCTAAAATAAAGAAATATATTTAAAATACAAAATAGACTAATCTTTCTTGTTCGTATAATTGAATGATGCCATTTGAACATGCATTCTAATGGGGGGGTTATTATATATATATATATATATATATATATATATATATAAGAAAATGGATATAGGATTTGATAAAGGATACGCATGCCTAAGCTAAGTTGTTTTTGTATTGCGGCTATATAATAAATACTATAAACACCATTTGTTGTGTTCTGTCACTTTCATGTTGATTTTTTAATAGACAAAATTCATTGCACTTTGTATTATTTATTAGTAGGAAGTACAGAGTATATTCAATCGTGACTTTCATAGATTTTTAAAAACTTTAAAAATTTGAAGGTATTAAATTCAAACTTTTAGAGAGTTTTTAAAAGTCAAACGGTATTTAATCAAGATTTTTAAAGAGTCGTTCAAAACTTGCCACTAACTATTATATCATTGGTCATGATCTTATGTTCACTGCTGGAAATTATGAAATTTCTGACCACCTAAAAATGATCTTAAATCAAGTTGAAAGCAAAAAGTGGTCAAAAATAGCAACAAAGGTTTTTCCGGACACCAAAAGTGGTCGGAACAAGATTTTCAACTTGATTTAAGATCACTTTTAGATGGTCGGAAATTTCAGAATTTCCAGTAGTATGTATAGAGCACCATTCACTCAATTAAGGGACAGATATTACTAATTAATAACTATCTCTCATTGTACTAAGCCCTCACATTTCAGATATTACTAATTAATAACTATCTCTCATTGTACTAACTACTAAGCCCTCACATTTTAATTAGTCGAATAGCTCCGACCCATTTCGAACCGACTGATTGACTTGTACTCATCTTATTAATACATTCTCATTCTCATATCTTAATTTCTAGTATTGTAAATTGTTATTAATGTAACTCTAAACTCCTACTTGCCGGTCTAATTTATGCCATCAAGTATATATCAACTTGCATTTATTTATAACACCGCTATTAAACAACAACATGTTGTTTGAGTTGAAATTTTTTAACTTAACCTAAATTTCAAGGTTGAGATGTATAAATGAAATAGAAAATGTTAAAAAAGGTTCACCTCGTGTAAAGTTTGACAATAACTCATCTCTAAATATAATCAATCAAAATCTAATATAATTATAAAATCATAAGATGTATATTACCAAAAAATAATTAATAATAACTTGATTAATTAATCTAAGTGTACAAATCCCATTAATGACAACGTACGCACATGCCACTAACTAAACGTACGAATGTCATCGGCTAAACATGCTTGTTCTATCTGTCAAAATTTAATTTACACTAGCTGTTTTATTTCCATTTAAATTGTATACACTTTTTTTTTTTTTTTAATAATGAGTATATAATTAATTAATTAATATATTATAATTAATCATCGTTAAAACCTACGATATTATGATGTTAACAATATACGTTTATAATTTATACAATTACAAATTAGTCTAACCTTCTTTAGTGATACTCAATAACACAACACTAAATTGAACGTCAAAATTGCTATAAAATGCATAGTTGGATGCAGGGACGGAGCCAAAGGGGACAGGGGGCAGCTGCCCACCTCACCCCACCTCTACCCCATATATAGTCTTTGTATGTATATGTGTATATATAGTACAAGTTTTAGTATTAGTATAAAAAAAACTATTAAATATTAATAAGAAATGAGTTAGATTAGTTGGTAGAGTACATGTTTTATACTAGTAAGGTCAAGGGTTCAAATCTTTGCATCAACATAGTTTTACAATTTTATGACTCCTTCCCCTCACGTTTTTATAATATTTAATAACACACAATTTTTTGACTCCTTCCCGTATGACTTCAACACAGTCACGTTTTTAATAGCTTTTTTAATATTTAATACACGCGCGCGCACACACACACACACATATACAACATTCTTTTATATTAATAATGAGATGTGTAATTTATAATGTGTTTTCTATTCAAATTATTTTATCAAATTAATTATGTTTTATATTTTGTTATGAATATTTTTATAAAGTTTCGATGTGTTTTATTTCTCGTCTATATCCAATAATATTTACAACTATATTTTTTAGGTGATTTATTTATTTATTTTAAAATTATCTCTTTTGTTTTAATGTTTCGCCTTTACTGGAAAAATTTTCTGAATCCGTCTGTACTTTTTCGCCCCCCCTCAACCGAATTTCTGGCTCCGTCCGTGGTTGGATGCATATAATATGTTAACTAAATGCACATAATCACATATCTTTGATTAATGAGAAAGTCCACAACCACTATACACTTTGAGTGAAGACCACCTTGTAACCCTTATCGATAAAGGACTACAATGAGGTAAACCATTATAAATTATCTATAGTTGGCTGGCTCAAACCAAGAATATTGTCAATCCATGTGGTTACCAAACCAACAACATGACCAATTTGGATAGTATTATCCTCACATAATCAATTACTATACGTACGTAATCTCGATCAGGGCTCACAATATTCATATTGAACCGTAATATTTGGAAGAAAAGACTAAAGTTTGAACTTCGACAGTGGCATAGTGGGGATTATGTTCAAAGTGGGCAGATCTCTAGATAGTTATTGAGTCACCGTGATTTACATCCTTTCAAATATTTTTTCTGGTCAGAATGTAAAGAGCTCTTGAGGTTGGGGATTCAACCTTTTGGGAGACAAAGGGGCAGGGTCGGTCCAAATTGGTTACGTTTTAATGGTGTGTGAATGGCAAGGGCAATGGCAATGGCAATTGTTGGCGGCCACTAATGAATAGAAGGTGGTTTGGATATATAGCGGCTGGGTGGAGGAAGGCCACAACCCACTATTCTTCCACATATATTTTGAGTATTTTCCAAAGCATATATGCATGCGCTAATAAGCCAATTAAAAACAAATTTTGGTCCCCCATCATATCAAACCCATGCTATGCACCATGTCTACACCATCACTAAAAATGAAAGACTTTCTCCTTTCTTTTTTCTTTAAGATATGGTGTTGATAGGATTATTGAATACACTTGAAATAAGTAATAATTTTTATTGACAAAATAGAAAATTCAGTACTTCCAAGTTTCAATCTTGCGTAAAGCAAACAACTTGCCATAAGTTCGTAATAGAAATTATTAAGTATGCTATGTAATCTCATTCCTACCTATTCACATCTTCACATACCTCAGTCCTAAAGGGACTCATCCATCCTTAACCAAAGATCAAGGATTCGATCATTGGCTTTGGGAACGAAACAACCTTAAATTTTCAGGTCAATTGTTCCACCCAAAAAAAGATATCTACAATCCAGCGAGGGAATTAGTCACTGTGTATTTAACGGTAAAAATCCTGAGTATACCCAAAAAATACCTCAGCCCTAACTAACTATCCACAGCCTACTTTTGTCGATGCCACCCCCGCTCTCTCTATCACCATTTATCAATTCTAGCCATATATATCTACTTATCTCATCCCTAACTTGTTAGAGCATTATATTAGACTATATTACAGTAGAAAATTACCAAAGATTTTCCAAACTTTTACCATTTGCAATTCTTAGCGGCCTTTTTTTTTTTTTTTTTTTTTTTTTTTTTTCGTTTTCTTTTATTGCAAATTATATTGTGGACCCTAGTCCAAATTATGTACTTAAAGTAAAATGAATGTACATAATATATTAACTATACATACATAACGGGGATAGATTTCACATGTGTACATGTACATAATTTTGCACATGATCCACAATGTCAATGAGCCCTAAGTCGTGATATAACTATTGTTCTTGTATTTTCTCTTTTATCTTTAGTGTTGGATTTTCCCTGTTCATTGGGTCAAGTAATATACCTCCCTTTTCAAAAGATGAGATCAAACAAATGATGTGTGTGTGAGACTAAATGAGTAGAACATAATTATCGTACAAAATATTTTAAATTCAACTTTTCTACAATTTTTTTTTTGAGTTGAGCTCTTGTCATGCTCATTGATACAATATATTGATTCTATCATGAATGAATATATAAAAGTTTGAAAAATATTTCCTATAATTAAACCGTTGCTACTATTTTCATATAAACTTCATTTCTTCAAATAACATTTGATTATTTTAACTAGGGACGTACATGAGATGACACGTCTTTTCTAACATAATTAATTAATTAGAGTTCTCAAGTTACTGACACGAATATGCATGATTAATTTTGACGTATGATTTTAGTTGCGTGGACGAAAAAACATATGAGATAACAAAAAGGATAAGCTTGAGAAGTTAGGAGAATAGATTGCAAAGAAAAATGAGAGGCAGGTCACGTCCTCACATGCTGGAATTGAAGGAAATTCACATGCAGAAAAGACAGACAATCTTGGATACAGGCAAAAATGATAAGCTGACAGGTTGATCTCGTGACAGAATTATTGACATCAGAAAACTAAAAACAAATTTGCATTGCTAGGCCTAATTTAGCACACATGGATCGATCTTTTGTTGTTGATGTTAACAAATCATATATATATAACAACTTTAAACATTCACTGCCACAATTTTATAAGGATTATGTAAATATTTTTGTCAATAATTTTTATAAGGATTATATAAATGTTAGTCCCATAATATATCCCATGTCTCATTTTATTTGTTAGGTTTAGTGTTTATTGGTTAAATTAATTTTTGTTTATTATTATTATTTTTTTAATTTTAATAATACTTTTAAAATAGTTTTTAAATATATAATTTTTTATATACTAATATTACATCTAATATTATGAAAAATTAAATTGTAAATAATCTAAGTAAAATTTTGTTAACTTAACTAGACATATAAAATGGACAAAGAGAACCTACTAATACCATGAAAACTATGCAGGAAGTGTAAATCACATTAAAAATTTTGTGCGACTAATTCAACCAAAAGAGTATTTAGTAATATAATAATCAAATTTGTGACTTTTAAAATATGATAGTCATGCTTTAGTCACTCGGTTACCCTTTTGGAACCAGAATGACATTTTTTTTGGGGGGAGGAAGGGGGGGGGGGGGGGGGGGGGGATATGAGGGGGTTGGGGGGAGGGAGAAGAGGTTAGGAGGAGGGAGTAATAAATAGCTTGAAAACTGTGCAAAATGAAGAATCATTGTTACACGTAGGTAATAAGAGAAATAAATCAAAAAAAAAAAAAATCTTCCATGATTGGGCTTGGTGGATACCAAGTGGGCCGTATTATTATAGGTATTAGGCTATATATTGGATTTCAAATCTTGAGTTGATTTCTTTTGGTCCATAAAAAATTATTATTATTATTATTATTATTATTATTATTATTATTATTATTATTATTATTATTACTATTATTATTATTATTATTATTATACATAACAAAAAATAGGCAATGATAAATCAGTCATTACTTAAAAAGTTATTACATAGATCTCATGAATACCCTAGCTAATATTAGACTCCTATATTTACTCTCCTTTTAAGGGAATAACTCATTCTTCGAAATACTATTTCAAGAATAAAATGCCTTGTCAAACAATAAAATAGGACAATTCCTATAAAGTTATTATATTTTTGACCTATTCTGTAAACCAAATATTAGACTCCTATATTTATCTTGAAGGCTGCACCATTCCCATATGAATTTTGGGCTTTACTTAGGTTGATTGAATGATGGTTTTACTGATTTGGCAAGGTTGACAGAAGGCTTCATTTGGGCCTTTAATTTTTATTTTTATTTTTTGTTTGAAACGTTTTTGTTCCTTTATTATTTTCTGCTGATATGAGTTTTTTTTTTTTTTTTTTTTGGATTAGGGGTTCCATTTATTTATTTCATGGATTAATTGCACTAGCATTATAAAACATTTTTTAATAGTGGATTGCTATGACTTCGATTACAACCCTAATGCAAGTGAGGATCTTGGAACAAGGCAAATTATATAATGCATCGGGATCTATCTTGCATTTATTATGAATCTTGGTCCAAAGTAACATTTATATTATGTCCATACACTTAATATATTATGTACATATTATAATTAACATATTATGTACATGAGTTTTTTGCACTTTTGGTCCCACGACTATAGTGGCACTAGCAGACTTGATCCACGACTTTTGAAACTTGCAATTTTAGTCCACGACTATTGATTTTTTTGCAAAAATGGTCCTTCCGGTCACTTTTCCGTCAAAATTCCACCGGAAAATTTTTGGTATCCATTTTTAACAGGACTAAAATTGACATTTCACTTATCTCAAAAAATAAAAGAAAAAAATTGACATTTGACTACATACAATATTACTGGGCTATATACTACTGCCCCAGGCGGCGAAGTTCCTGGAGCAGGTAGGGCTGTCAGTAAGCGGCGGAGCGGCCGTGGCGTTCCCCGGGCTAGTTGGGTTATCCGGCAGCAGCATTGGAGGCGGAGCCAGCACGCCTGCGGGATCATCCGAAGACATCGGAAAAGCTTCGTTGTATAGATTTCCGGCGAGAGAAGCGGCGGAGATTCTCAAATGCAATCGCTTTTACCTTTCCGTTTTATGTATTTCCTTTATATTTTGAGATAAGTAAAATATCAATTTTAGCCCTGTTAAAAATGGATAAAAAAAAATTCCGGTGGAATTTTGACGGAAAAGTGGTCGGAAGGACCATTTTTGCAAAAAAATCAATAGTCGTGGACTAAAATTGTAAGGTTCAAAAGTCGTGGTTCAATTCTGCTAGTGCCACTATAGTCGTGGGACCAAAAATGCAAAAAACTCTTATGTACATGCAGTTATTTATATATACATGTACATAATTTGAATGTTGTTTTAGATTAGAGTTTACATTATAAGATAAACCTTGGTCGATATGTATCATGTATGATAATTGGTGAAGCAATGTCCTAGCACCAATCAAAAAAAAAAAAAAAAAAAAAAACCTTGCTAGAGCTGGCACGTGAGTTGACCAATCAAAATACAATTAATAATACCAATATTTAAAAACTCGACACACCTCAGGTATTAATTGAAAATTATGTGTTGACCTGGCTTGTATACTATGATGATTAGAATTGATCACATAATCAAGATTTCAACATAAACATAATATTTTAGATCTTCAAAAATTATTAATTGTTTAATAATCTTTATTGATCTTCAAATTTTTTAAATTATTTTTGAGTTCTTGAATTCCCTGCATACTTCACAAATCTATCAAGACGGTGATCTTGATTCACAATACATCCGCACAAAGAAAGTTTGTGTTTGTGAATAGTACAACGTAATAGGAGTGAAGAGTTAAAAGGGAGAGGAAATTCATCATATTAACATGTTATGTGTATGCAATTAACATATTATGTTGTAAATTAAAAAAATTAAAATTGTATATATATAACAAAATCGGGTTAAGTTAATGTATATAATTTAAAATGAAAATACAAAATCTCGGTATAAGGTCTCTTAATTCTCTACTAAAATGAAGATCTAGCTGTGAATTACGGTCCACACAATTGACTGACTTAATTTTTTTTATTTAAAAAAAAAAGGAGAAGAAAAAAGAAAAATCTCTCAAAAGGTCCATTGACTTGTTCAAGTCTTCCTTCTAAGCTTTTAATTTGGTGCCCAACTCTCATCCGTATTTTAGTGGAACGGTCCATTACACACATCTCTTTCAATAATAAATAGACATTAATAATAGTAATAGTTTAAAAAGCAAAACTCTCATTATATGTTCAGATTTTATTGGGGAGGGATAAAAATTATACTTTACTTTTTCTTTTTAAATTAATCAGATTATGTTATATTCATAAAAAATTAAAAAGATATCAAATGATAATACGTACATATAGTATAACTCGTTCTTGTACTAAAATATTACGAGTTCGATTCATGTTAACATCATCTCGACTGAGACAATTACAAGTGATCTTTTTAGTGCAACTTAAATCTCTTGTGTAGTTTACAAGTTATTACATAGGAATATGATTTACTCATTGCATACTTTCAATTCTTGTTAACACCCTCTTGGTCGAGCCCATCCCACATGATCTTTTTAATACAATTTATATTTTTTTGTGTAGTTTGTGATATATTACACAAAAATATAATTTATCTGATGTACACTTCTAAGTAGTGATGGTTAATTTAATAACGAGAAGTATTAGTGGCGTAATAAATATTCCAAATAATAAAAGCATTTGCAACTTGCAAAGTATAACTCCTTTTGAATAGTATGCCCATCTTATCAAGTTGGCAAGTCTTTGTTTTTGTAGAAAGTTGGCAAGTCGTTAGTCATCATAAAATAGACTAAGCATTAATAATGCCAATTTGACTTCGATTAGGATAAAACACAATAGAAATTGAGTGTTTGTCATTTGTTAAATTAAAAAAATAAAAAGATGAAACTAAAATATATAATAGTTAAGTTTTTTTCAATTCATTTATAAATTTATGTTATGCATTATCTGAGTTACACTTTAAAAAAAAAAAAATGGTGTACATTTTAGCATATGAATTGGTAAAATGGCGTAAAAAAAAAATTGCGTATTCGTCATATTTGACTAGTCAAGATTCAAAATTATCTTGACGCGTTTCAGTTTGTGTGTGTCCAGTCAAATATCTGCACTCACAAACAAACATGATGGAGTGCTTAAATACTTGAGAATTTCTGCTAACTTTGTTATCCAAAATTCCAATTCATAAAAACAAAATACTTTTCAATCTTCCATAGCCATGAATTCTTCTTCAGCTTCATCTGACTACCACAAATTCACACCGTCGCCGTACGGCGACGGCGTGAAGACCGGCGTGCCGGTGAGCTCGTCGTCGACGACCAGCCATGCCTACAGTTCCGAGGGCTCTCATATTGCGCCCAACCTGCAAGTTAAGCCTAAGATCCGCGGCCCCTGGTCGACCGGCCTATGCGACTGTTTCTCTGACCCCCGTAACTGTGAGTTTTAATTTATTATTATTAAGCTTGAACGACGACTTTGACTCCGCCGGAGCGTGCGCGGCACGCTCCACCCCTTCTCTTTAAAAGGTGAATGATGTATTATTGATTTGTATGTTTGTTGTGGCGCAGGTTGTATAACTTTGTGGTGTCCGTGCATCACTTTTGGACAGATTGCTGAGATTGTAGACAAGGGTTCTAATTGTAAGTCTTTAATTTTGTCTTCGCAATTCACATAGTAAACCACTCCGAACAATCAGACCTAGAAACAGACTGCCTTACAACCATATGAGCTGCCATTTGCTTTGCAACAATATGGGTTGTCATGTTCCCTGATCGTTTTGCCAATTGCATGCAATTCACATAGTTAATACAACCGTTTCTTGCATCAAATTAAACCTTTTTGGCACGTTACAAATGTTGTATAGTAGTTTAATTAGTGGCTCCAATTCTTAATTTTAAGCCCAGCCCAGTCAAGCTAATCAGACCATTGACGTGATAATTTACAAGTTCAACTCCCTCAAGAACATCCTATCATATCAAACTTCTTGGTTTGAGTCAATTAGCTATGAACAACCTAGACTAGTTTATCATTAATTGTTTAAATTTGCAGCTTGCGGAGTGAATGGAGCCCTTTATACAATTTTAGCTTGTGTGACTGGTTTCCCATGCTGCTACTCATGCTTCTACCGGTCAAAGATGAGGGAGCAGTACATGTTGAAGGAAACTCCCTGTGGGGACTGTTTGGTGCATTGCTTCTGCGAGTCCTGTGCCCTCTGCCAAGAATACCGCGAGCTTAAAAACCGTGGCTTTGACATGTCTATTGGTAATTTATTAACTCTAAAACTTCATATTTTATAGTATATGTTAATGTGACATTTTTCATTAATGCATGCACATAACTGTGGTGCAAGGTATTTAGCGCCATTACCACTAATTGAAATTAAGGTTGTAATAGAAATATAAGTCTATATATATATTGACGGCATATAAAACAATATAAATTACAGATTTTGTATCACAAACAATAAAAGTTATTTGTTGTTTTATAGGATGGCATGGAAACGTGGAAAGGCAAAATCGTGGAGTTGCCATGGCGCCATTAGTTGAAGAAGGGATGAGCAGATAAGAAGGCTAGTTGGGCTGCCTTTTCAACTTTTGAAAATACTAAAATGCTCTTTTAAATTGGGTGTATCTTTTAAACATTTTTACTTTTTGGAATGTATTTATTAATTTTACTTTGTGTAAATCTTCGGATATAAATAATTTTAATATTTACTAAAATTCGCATGCAATTTGTGTCCCGGAAACAACATTCTAATAATGCAATTTACACATTATATTAAAAAGTGAGGCAAATTATGTTGTGCATCCGTATGCATCATTCGTGATACGGATACAAAAACGACGTCGTTTTGTATTAAAACGCGTGTCCTACTTAAAAAAAAAAATCAGTTTCGATTCCTAGTAACAACATTATGTTATTCATTTTTTAGTTCATTCATTATTGATTTTTAGTTATGCAATTCTGGATGTATAGTTATGCAATTCTGGATGTGTAGTTATGAAGTTATGGATGTGTAGTTATGCAATTCTGGATGTGTAGTTATGAAGTTATGGATGTGTAGTTATGCAATTCTGGATTTATAGTTATGAAGTTATGGATGTGTAGTTATGCAATTCTGGATGTATAGTTATGAAGTTATGGATGTGTAGTTATGCAATTCTGGATTTATAGTTATGAAATTATTGATGTGTAGTTATGCAATTCTGGATTTATAGTTATGAAATTATTGATGTGATGAAATTATGGATATGTAGTTATGCAATTCTGAATTTTATTTTTTTTAAGTTAGACGTCAAAACGACGTCGCTTTTGCATCCGGATGCACCATGCATGGTGCATACGGATGCACAGCATAACGCTCCAAAAAGTGCACCATTGGTGGAAGGAATAAGGAGTCCATTTGATAGAGGAAAGAATTATAATGGCCCAATTACAAGGTTTAAGTCAAAACAATTAGACAACTCTACATTGGTTATGTTCAAAGATGGTAGAAATCTAAGTCAAGCCTAATTGCAAAACATGAAGAAGAACTCAATGCTTTTTATAATTTAGTCATTATTGTGTGGACCATAACTAAAAAGTATATTATTTGAAAGTACATTATTTTGTATATTATCAAATAATGTACATTCAGTATATAAATAATGTATTTTTAGTATATTAAAAATGATCCAAAATGTTAATGTGTTTTCTTTGTTTTTTAATCCAAATTTTCTAACACTAATTTGATTAAGATTTATGTTCTATTTAATTTAATTAGATCAGAATATATAATTAGTCTATGTAAATAGAAGTAGCATCAAGGATTGATGTAGTTCGAGACCACTCAAAATAGTGTCTTACTATTACTAAATCAAGATACAAAATCCAAAACTCTATGAAGTCATATTGCCCTGTTTGGTAACATAGTTAACTTACCAATCAATTTGACTTGATTAAACAATTAATATGATTATGTTTGGTAAACTTAATTGAAAAGGTAGGTGAAAGCTGTAAAGCTATATAAGTTAGAAGCTGAAAACTGAATAACTCTAAAGCTAGCTGATTATGTTAAAAATATTTGGTAAAATTAACTTTTTGATAAGCGGATAAATAAAAAGACTAAAAAGAATACTTTCATAAAATTTAAATAGATTTGTTTACATACTAAAATTAAACATTTTCAAATAAAACTATTAGCATAATCATGATCTAACATCTTATAATTAATGAACTAACAATATTGTTGTGAATCTTCTTCATCTCAATAGAGGTCTCACCTAAATTTCCATTAACTCAATCAGTTAACAATTATTTACCAAACACCTCATTATTCTTATTAAATACTGAAAATATAATGCAAGATGATCTCGATATTATTATATAATAATGACCATCATATGAGTGGAATACACATTATTGAATAATTAGCATTGGAAATTGCACTGGCACATAGTTGTGCCAGCTCCATTAATCACACAATATACATACATGATAGGTTTCTTCACAGCTGCGGTGCACAGTGGGAAACACGCACTATCAGGTCCAAATTTGCATTGGTTTATACCAGTCACACTTGTGCATGTCTCCCCATCAACCATGACAACATCTGCAACCCAATAATATACAATTAATCATAATAAATAATGAAATCTATTTTGAGTGACTGACAAGCTAAAGAGAAACCTGCAGCTATTATCCGAAGATGTGCACTAAGTAAATCTTACATTATAGAAATAAACCAGCCTAGGAAACCAAGAAGGCTAGAATGTCAATAGGTCGTTTCTGACCTTATGAACCTAGTTGGTATTTGACCACAAAGAAATCAAAAAGGCTAAAAGGTCAATAGGTCACTCCCAACCTTGTAACCCTAGTTAGTAAAAGACCATAAACCAGCCTAGGAAACCAAGAAGGCTAGAAGGTTAATAGGCCCCTTTCAATTAACCTTGTGACCCTAACTAGTAAAAGACCACAAGGAAATAAATCAGCTTAGAAACTAAGAAGGCTAGCTAGAAGTTTATCAATAGGCCGCTCACAGCCTTATAACCCTAACTGGTAAAGGATTACAAGGTGGTAACTAGTCTAGGATACCAAGAATGCCAGGAGGCTAATAGGTCGATCTCAAATGAAATATATGTTTATTGCCTACAAATGGAAGTAAGAATAATACCATAGGAGAGGAGAGCAGCGATGAGGACGACGAAGACCAACAAAGCTGATGCCTTTGGCATTTCAACTTCGATCAACCTTAAATTTTCTTAAACAAATGTGTTTGTTTTCACTCATTATTTTTGCATCTTTTATAGTGCTGGACTATAGCTACTTAACCCAATTTATTGCTTGCCGTGTAATATTAGATGAATCCCAAAATTAATTATCCCATAAATTCAGTAAGCATTAAGAAATTGTACCCAAAAATATGTGGTTAAATGATGACTGGTAACTGTAAGCTAGCATTAATGAATTCCACTCAAAAATCTGCTATTAAATGACATACTCTTTGCGTCATCAATTATTTGTTGTATCTTCATTGCTTACTGTATATAACAATAGCGTTTTCTCTTCCTTGATCTGTTAGCACACCTAGCTACCAAAATGTTTACATAATCGAAAAATGGTCACATACATGAAGTCTAAGACTATTCTAATCTTTAAAATTTTGCTTCTTGAAAAGTGATATGGCATAAGTCATGTCACTCTATATTAATTAAAATTTCTTTTAAGGGCATCTTCAATAGTGGGGGTTTTATTGTGGTTTTTGAGGAGTTTTTGTAAGTATGATTAGGAAAGAGAAGATGATAAGAAAGAGAAAAAAGAAAAAAAAAATAACAAATATTGATTTTCAAAAAAAAAAAAAAAAAGTGAAAGAACGGCCAGCAACACGAGTGCACGCGCCAGCTGGGCGCAATTGTAGGCTTCACGCGTGAAGCACGAGACTAGCTTTAAAGTGTTGTGGGTCCCACTATTCTGAAAAAAAAACCCCAAATTAACAAAGGAATTGAGTTATTCTCTCTCTTCCAAATTGACATCTTTTTATTAATATCATTGTAATTTTCAAATGTATAGGGATGGCAACGGGGCGGGGCGGGGGCGGGGAGTATACTCCCCGTCCCCGTCCCCGTCCCCGCTACCCTGACCCCATCCCCATCCCCGATCAACTTATAGTCAAAGTGTGAAACTAGTAGAAATAAAAAGAAAAAAATTGAAATGGCAATTAAAATTCAACTATTTTTAATAACATACGAACTAATGAAGTTCAAATTCCAATTCGAAAGAGCAAATATATACTAAAAAATAGTTTAACATTCAAACATTATGAATTATATTGACTTATTGTTGTTATACACACAGTAGTGCAATACACGTATTATTCCAACGTATACACATTCAAATATTCTATTTCCTAATCCTAAAATAATATTCTATATATATTATTTATTTATTTTTTTAATTTTTTTTATTTTCGGGGACGGGGCGGATTGGGGAGTGGTATCCCCTTCCCCATCCCCGTCCCCGAAATTTTTTCCCGTCCCCGTCCCCATCCCCTACGGGGGCGGGGATCCCCAACTGGGATGGGGCACATTGCCATCCCTACAAATGTATGAATAATTTAGTAATAACACTATGTTTTTTTTACGTTGACAATAGCTTCTCTGTAACAACTTTACTTTATATACTGTACACAATTTAGTCTGTAATTAATGTGTTAGTGAAGAGTTGAACTTCTTGGACTATTTATCTGATTCCTTCAAATATTTTCTCTCTGATTTTTTTTTTCTAACTTTAATTCAAACAATATCTAACTTGATATACACTATGAATCACTAATTATAGCAAATATAAATGTATAAATTGCTTGAAACTGATGCCCTACTGTCTTTTGTTTCTTTATTTTACTAAATTTTTAGGCTAACTTCTATCAATATGAACAAATTAAGTACTTAACACTGTATTTCATATTATAGAGTAACTTTACTTTCCATACTAATGTGTTTTTAACTTATATGGAACCTGCAACTATAAAATAATTCAGGCATACATATGAAATAAATTTAAGTCCATGAAGGAATATGTTATACTTCACAGTTGCTGATAAGAGTTTAAAGTTAGACTATTGGGAGAAAGTTAGACATTTTGTCGCACACATAACTCATATGTTTTCTGAGAAGTGAGAGTACTCTAAAACTGCATATTGTGTATCTTATTTCCATCAATGCAAGCATATAAGAATTATATAAGCATAGTGTTAGATAAACCAACATCAATTCATTTAGTCCTACCAAAAAGTCTTAATAAGTCTAGTTAATTAACTTCTACCACCATACAAAACCAAATGAAAATCAGAGAAGAGCAAATTAAAAACTGACTAGAATAGTTCAAATAGTTATACAAATGTTTAATGATGAAAAACATTTCACACAAAAACTCAGAATTAAGCACACCACCCAACTGGATCCAAGCTCTACATATGAAATCATATGATAATATATATAGATACATGCCCCTAAGGAAAATACCAACAAAGAAAGCGCCACAACAACCATGACAAGAAGCCTTGGATCAGAGCAAACATACATCTGAAAATGTTATTTGTTAGCCCTGCACCAATTTATTTAAAACAATATTAACAATAACAACAACAACAATAACTTAGAACCATAAAACAACAAAAACTAAATAAATAAATGACAACACACCTTTTTATTGGAAGAAATATGCAAATGCATCAATAGAGTTGTTAATTTAGTGATCAGGAGGATAAATGGAGAGATCAAACCCATCCTTTTGCTTTTGTTCTCGGATTGTTATTGCAGAAGCAGCAACGTTTTTGTTGGTACAAAACAACTCCATAAATTTAAGGCTTTTAACATCCTTGAAGGCGAGTGGGACTGCCTCAAGGGATGTGCAATGTGAGAGGTAAAGCTTGTTGAGTACAGGAAAACTACTCTTCTCACAAGTCCAGCGCACCAAGTTCGTTCTCCCAATGTGCAAGATTCGGAGACTCTTAAAAACAGTGTTATTTACGTCCCAATACTCCCCCAGCTGATTCTTTAACTTGAGGACCTCCAGCTCGTTAAGGGATCCCAATACACAAATGTGTTTCCAATCTATGGAGGTGTTGGATAGAGTGAGCTGCCTTAGTTTTGACGGAAATTTGTCATCCTGAGGAAAGTTCCTTATTGTGCTACTTTGGTCATTGGCAGGTTCGTGCACAAGTTTCAGATTTTGCAGGTTATGCAGCTTTCGAACATTGTCAAATAAGTAAACTCCTCCTCCCTCGCTCTCGAGAAGCTCTACTAAATTCCCACGAACCCCCAATTTCAAAAGGTTGGGCATCTTCTCTAAGATGGCTTTAGTGCAGCTCTCAGGTGATATGGGGGAAAGAGTTTGCAAGTTTTCACACTTGTCTTTGCAATTTTTGGGAGTAGGAAATTGCAGCGGAGCATTGGCTATGATATGCCTTAGTTTTGTCAAATTCCATATCTCAGCCTTAACATCAACACTACTTTGGGAGGTATTGAACACAAGAGTCTGCATGTTCCATTGGTCTGTGAATGGCTTTGGAAGGATATTGAGGTCGGTTGAGATGGCCAAGTAGCGCAGAAGATATAGCTGATAGAACTCTTTTGGCAAATTTTCGAAGTAGAGGTTTTCCCCATCAAAGACTTTGAGAAAGGGGTAGGCCTTTGGGATAGTTGCCAAGTGCTCTTTTGGAACATCTAAATGGTCAGATGTTAGAAGAGAGCAGATGTGCTCACCTGATGGCTTGTCCTTCGAACCTATAAAGTCTTTAATGGAGGAACGGATGCACAAACGACGATATTTATCATGTCTTTCTATTCTTGCCCCATTTATCTCATGGAAGAGATAATTCTTTACAGCTTCATCCTTACAAAACTCGTGCAATGTGTCATGAAGGCGGCATGTTTTGATATCACCATCGGCTCTTCTTTTCACCACCATCAACAGATTCCTGCTCACAATTTCCTTCAAGTATGAGTCAGCTGTGCGCTCCATGGTGGAATCAGATACTGGAGGAATAAATCCTTCTGCAATCCACAACCGAATCAGTTTCCAAACAGAAATCTCATGCCCCATTGGGAATACTGCAAGATACAAGAAACAATCTTTTATGTGGTTAGGCAACTGATTGTAACTCAATCTTAGTATACCATTGTAGCCTGGACTGAGTATTGGAATACGATTTTCGGCCAGTTCATTCCACGATGAGACTTGGTCGTTATTACGGAGGAAACTAGCAATAATCACTATTGCTAGCGGTAACCCATTGCATTTCGCTGCAATTTTTCTCCCCGGGGATTCAAGATACTCAGGAAAAGCTTCATTGCGGAAAACTTTCTTTTGTAATAACTCCAAACTTTCCTCATTCTTCAAAAATTTTAAGTTATGTGGCTTGGCATAAGAATCTGCATGTGTAGCCACCCCAGTATCACGTGTTGTTACCAATACTCTACTCCCATTATAGTTATCAGGAAAAGCAATTTTCAAAAGGTCCCAGTCTTTCTTGTGCCAAACATCATCCATCACAATGAAATACTTCCCGCTTTTCAAATATTTCTTGATCCTTTTAGCTAATAGTTCCTCCGATACATTCTTGAAATCATCAGTTTGCTTGGTAAACCTACTTATAATGTCCATGAATATCTGTTTCCTATTCATGCTTCTAGATACGTGAACCCAAAGCTTAGTAAAAAACTCATAATGAATATCAGTATCATAGAATATCATTTTAGTCAATGTGGTTTTGCCCAACCCAGCCATTCCCACAATTGAAATGAAAGTCGTATCTTCTGATCCTTTAGTGAGACGATCCTTTATAGCTTTAGCCTCACCATCAAAACCTACCACATAATCAACTTCCACCACCGGGTGTTGTTCGTTAATTATTTATAAAAAATATTTTGTCTATTTCAAAATGGATATATATTAATATAAAATGTTACAAATTAAAGTATAAAATATATGTAATAGAATGAAGGGGAGAAGTATGAGTACCTGAATATTCTTGCAACCTGAAAAATGTTGAAACACTACACGTAAACCTCATTAAGTTTATGTAGTCAAATGAAGAACGTAGAAGTTAGTATTTAGCAGTACCTTTCTCTAACTTCGCAATTCTTCATTTGCAATTCTTCATAACTTGACACTTCATCGTCATCACCAAATATAACTTCGCCGAACCCATGTCTATCCTCTACTCCACATGCATTATTTTTCTCTTCAACATTACTTTGTATAAGTAACACTACTAAAAATACTACGGAGTATATATAATTAATCATCCAAGAAAAAAAAAAAAAAAAAAAAAAAGAGTTGTGGGTAGTTTTATTAAAAATTTAAAATTGATGAATTGGAGCTACATGCATAATCTACACACTAACTTACTATTTATAATTAATCATTTAGCTTATTTCAATTTCTTTTTAAGTTTATAGACCAATATTTATCAATTTCACATTATTTTTTATGAATAATACTACATTTATTTCACTTTTTCCACTCCTCTTCTTTTTTTTTTTTTTTTTTTTTTTGAATTGTTGACATATCATACTCCAATTCATTAAGAAAAAAAAATAGACTACAATTTTTATTAATTTCTTTTCTTTCCCCTAATAAAATTAAGACGTGGAGAAGTTTTACATCTTAAGAATATGTTGATCTTTTTTTTTTTTTTTTTTTTTACTATAGCATGAACATAGACTTAAGATGATAAAGTAGGATACACTTCAAAGCACAAACTACGTTCACTTTCCTAAAGTTAAAACAAAAAGAAGTATAACAATATCGGATTACATAACAAACTCACCATTTAGAGGACAATTATATTTGTCTAAGTGTTTATAAATTCCTATGTTTAATTGGAATTTTAGTACCTTTGTTTAATTAGATTTTTAGTATTTAATTATTAACTAAATTTCTTTTTCTATCTAATTAGTAGCAAAGTCAAACAATTTATGGGCACCTAATAAATAAAAGTCACATTAGAAAGAAAATTTAGGAGAAAAAGCATTCAGTAATGCTAATCACCCCTCTAAAATTTTCCACTCCATGAAATTTAGGATGAGAAATTTTAAGTGGGAAACAAAGCATTTTCCATTTAAAAAATCTTTCAACCATACAGCCAAAATCCATTCAACCATTTACTCAATAATTATGGCCTCCCCTTACCACCTTACCAATTACAAATCATATAATTTTTATTGCAGAAATTAATTAAAAACCGTTAAAAATGAGTTGTAAAATTTTTATTTGCATTAAAAAAAATTCTTAAAAATCAAGATAAATTGATATGTAAACAAATTTTTAATATAAGTTGAAAAAATTGACAATTTCAAGTAAAATTTTATTTTATTTTTATTTATTTTAGCATTTTTTTTCACAATTGACATTTTAATTTTTCTAAATTAAAATACATGTTTTTTTTAGTATTACTAACTCTGTTACAATCCTACTGAAGCACAAAGAGGCACAGTATCCGCCCTCCCTTCAGATCAAAAAAAACAAAGAGGCACAGTCAATGCCCCTACACTAGGGTTTGAACCTAAGATCTCTCATTTGAGAGAGGCACAGATATGCTTCTCATCTCGACCACAAGGTCTTTGGCAAAATACATGTTAATTTATTCAAAAAAAAAAAAAAAAAAAAAGATTTAACATTACAAAAATATTACTTCTCTATTTATAATGTAATTTATTTCATTATAACACAAAATTCAAAATTATTACGGAGTAATTGTTAACAGATTGCATACCAGAATAAAGTCAAATATTAAGCCAAAGACCTTGTGGTCTACTGGTACCATGTTACTTTCAGTAGTAGTTATGAACAAATACTACATTCTAACAGAGTCCGTAGTTCTCAAAAAAAGTCAAATACTAAAATTGTACTCTTCATTATTAACTTTTCAGAAAAAAAATTAATTAATATTTTTAAGAAACTATTTTTTAAATAAAATTAATTTTTTACACCTCCCATTCATTATTGTTCTTTAATTAATTTTTGTAATAATAATAATTATTATTATTATTATTATAAAATGTATACTTGGTAAAGTGGTAACGAGTGGTTTTATGTTACTACGTATATAATTAAGGGTTAAAGTCCCGTTACAAGCATTTAAATGTCAAAAAAGGTTAATTGACAACTCTAATGGGATATCAAGCTTGAAACCTCTATCCGACCAACTTGGCTAGAGCACATTTTTATCTTTCTCGTATTAGATGGGTGTTCATAATATTCATCACTCCCGGATTAAAAAATGAAACTATTTATTCTCATGGATTATGGGTTAATTGATTAACACCACCTTGAATTAATAATGAATCTACGTATCTAATAAAATGGTGATACTCCTGTGAGACCGTCTTATAAATCTTTATTGATGAGACGGGTCAAGTCTATATGAAAATGTAATACTTATGATAGAAAATGTACGTAATATTAATCAATGATAAATTGATTGTTACTTATAAAAGGTGTAATACTTATGAGAAAAAATGTGATACTTTTGAAAAAATTGTTATAGTTTTACATTAAAAAAAAAATGTAATATTTAGGGATTGAAAAATTACTTATTAAGAAAAAATGTAATAATTATAAGGAAAAATGTAATAATTCTGAGAAATCCGAACCCGACTCGCAGATGAGGATCTGTGAGAAAAGTCTCATAGGAGTTTAGATGACAGGTCAGAAAATAACTAATAGGAATTCATAATTATAAATGGTCCAAAATATCAAAGATTATAAAATACCTACCATTTAAAATGTGATTATCAACCGCCAAAGATACTTTCCACTTCACTTTGGATTTCAGTAGTTCTATGACTATAACAGATCCATCTGTCAATCCAATTGCAAATTGGATGGGTTCTTGTGGATGAGCTGCAATCACAACTTGAAACACAGCCCCACTACTGCAATAATATAACACAGACAACACAAAAATTAACATTCATTAAGGAAATGAATATTGTAATTATTAAAAAAAATAAAAAAAATCTAGACCAGGTCGTCAGCATCATTCTTTTTGCCATACCAAAGGGATGCATAATTATTTACTACGGAGTAAACAACTTTTCCAATACATACAACATTTACCCTTCGTGGACATTTAAGTTTTTAAATTAATTATTTTCAATAATTTCAACCCCATTAACTAAATAATGGAATATAAAGGGTGTGTTTGGTTCGCACATGGGAATTGGAATCGGAATGGGAATTAAATACTTGGTAATGGTAATGGGTTTTGGTGAAAATATTTTGCATGGTAGTAGGGTGGAATTGGGATGACTACCAATATTTCTGTTTGGTTATGTATGATCCTGTAATGAGAATAAAGGTTTTAAAAATACAAGAACAAAAAATCAAGACAATTTATTTTAATATAAAGACATCCAAAGCACCAAATGAACAAAAAAAATAATAACAAAAATCTAAAAGCACTAATCCAAACTTAAAAATCAAATTACCAATTAGGAAGGGGGAATAATGGAATGAAACCCTTATTTAGGGAATGGGTTTTCTAATTGAGGGGGTAATCAAATCTCAAGAAATCTGCCAACCAAACAATAACAATGACTTTGATTCCCATTCTTGATAGTTAAACCCATGAACCAAACACACCCTAATGTCTCTAATTTTTTTCCATAAAAAATAAATTTCATTCTTTATAAATTCTTTTCTGCCAACTAAATAGGACGTTTTTTGACACTACAAAGAGGGAGGAAGGCACTTGACAATATACATGTTCACGAAAAGAATGGGTCTTGCAATAAAAGTAATGCTATGAGATATTTTCATATGTGAATAACTAAATTTCCAAATACTTGCATTCAAAAAAAATTTCCAAATACTTTACCAAGTCATCAAAATTTCTAGATGTAAGAAGGTGCTCTTACTCATTCAATACGGCCTGAGATAGATAAGCAGATGGAGCAATACGACATCTCAATCTTAGGCTATCGGCATCAAGAACTCCAATATTCCCATCTTTAAAGGATGCATAAACTAATTGGCTATTGCAGGAGTATGTAGCAGAAGAGATTGGTGCAGAAAGGGAACCACATGGGATCCACTGTGACAAATATACTCCAAATTTAAATCCTACTATACAGTGCTCTGATCATGAGCATATTTCAAGATTTGAAAAAAAAATAATGTGTTTACCTTTCGTATGCATTTCATCTCGGATGCATCATATATTGCTAATTGAGTTTCATGTGTAACAAGTAAGTGGAGTTGGTCAGCATGGAACATCACCTGTATGCCACTGCCAAACAAGTAGATGCAAACTGATTTTCTCTCTTGCCATGTATCAGTGCTCCACACACAAAGCTGAAACAAAAGTTGGTGTTTGAAATGAGCAAACTACCTATCACGAGTACAAATATTAATTTGGGTTTCCAATTAATTTTTTGATAAAATAAATTTTGGTATGCACAGAGTGGAGAACAAAGAAAACACAAAGTTTTGGTCAGTTTGAAACTGTTATGGAATATATATTTAATATATGGAATTTCTATAGATCAGACAGTCTTAGGGATTTAGGTAGAGCAAATACCAATTTTGGTCCCATGAGTATTAGCAAAATGACGGTTTTGGTCCACATGTTTAATTCATACCAATTTTCATCCACGACTATTGTTTTAGTACCAATTTTAATCCACGACTATTATTTTAGTACCAAAATTCATCACGTCGGTCACCCATCTATTTAAGACATCCCGAAATCTAAAAATTTTAAGGGAATTTACGTCCTTTTCAACTTAAGATTTCAATTTTAACATAAATAAATGAATTTAAGCCCTAAGATCGTGTCCAATTCGCAATTCTCCTCCTCATCCTACCTTAATTTGAGGAAAACTATGAATTGAGATAGATCTTAGGGCTTAAATCCCTTTATTCATGCTCAAATAGGGATCCTAATTTGAAAAACACAAAACTACCCTGAATAATTTCATATTTCGGCATGTCTTAAACGAAGGGGTGACCGGCGTGATGAATTTTGGCACTAAAACAATAGTTGTGGATGAAAATTGGTACTAAAACAATAGTCGTGGATTAAAATTGGTAGGAATTAAACATGTGGACCAAAACTGTCATTTTGCTAATACTCATGGGACCAAAATTGGTATTTGCTCGATTTAGGTAGGTAGGCATATGGAAACCTGTTTCCTATTTGAAGTCTTCTAGCATGTATTTATAGGGATTTATATTCTCTTTTCTATAAAGACAACATATTCAGAAATCTTCTCTTTACTTTCATAACAGAAACCTTGAGGTTTTTATTAGATCTAAAATTTGAATTTAAATTTAAAGATTTTTTTTTCCTGTGTGCCAACATGATTAGTCATCGGATGTTCTACTGTTAACTAAAGGTATCATGCCATGGTTATTTATAATTCCTATGCTTACCCGGGCATCGGCACCCGATGAAACCAGGATGTTATAGTTGGTAGAGAATGCTAGACCAGTGATACGTTTCACATGGCCATGAAGCATGAACCTAACCTGCATTTTAATTAGAATTGATTAAATTAGTACTATACGTATTAAATTAGCATACACATAATGCAATAAAGTATGATATGTAAAATTAGCAAACACTTGCTGCAATAAAAATATGATAAGTGCAGTACCTTATCAAGCCTAACATCATATATATATATGGTTGAATCCTTCGTACCAATTGCAATAGTGTTGTTATCATGAGGATGGAAAGCTAAGAATGTTGATGCAGATGGCAGCCACATGAATCTTTTTTTTACCTACATTGCATAAAGATCATAGCAAGCGCAGAAATGGTCATCCATAAAGCTAAATGTGATAGCCATACATACCTTAAACTCCATGATATCAAACAATGAAACCTTTTCACCACCAGCTGACACAACATAAGAATCATCCTTGGAAAGGGCCATGCAAGGAATTGCTTTCATAGAAGGACCACCGTTTGGTTTCCAAGGCTGTGGAACATATCAGAATTGGCAGTGGTCATGCCGTAAGACATGAACATAAACAATAAAGCAAAACATTCTAATCGACTTACTACCTCTCCGCTTGGATTTTGTTCGTCGTGGGAACATTTCCATAATTTTAGAATACCATTTGAACTAAGTGCCAAGATGCCAACGCCAGAATTTGTATAAAAAAGTTGGACAACCTTAACAAAATCAGTTTGCATCAATTAGTCATGAAATTCACCATGAATTTCATATTTAATGCGCCTTATTTATTAGTTAAGGCACCCAATTGTTGGTCAATAAGAGATGAACCACAAGAAAAATGATACAGAGAAAATTAGTTCAAAAACCTTTGTATTAGAGCACTCCGGCTTGGAAACCATTTTGCTTTGAGCTAGATGTACAGTTTTAGTCAACTGCCAAAGTTTGGTTCTGTCTAGGCCTTGCAAGTTTTAACAAGTTCAGTTAGCACAATAAGGACGACACATGAGTTGCAACAAAACCAGTAATAAAATATAGTGACTATTTTCGTCTTTCAAAAATATAAGGGCCAAAATTGGCCCTTAAAAAAATTAGGAACTAAACTTACATTTTCTCTATAACTTAGGGTCCGTTTGGAAAGCAGGAAAATGACTTCTGGAAAATGTTTTCCGGTGTTTGGATGCAACAGGAAAATCTAGTCAACGGAAAACATTTTATGTTGACTGAGGAAAATGAAGCCATTTTGGCGGAAAATGACTTCCGCCAAAATGTTTAATTATACAATTCTACTCATTTTCCAGAAAATAAACCAAACACACCAAGTTTTCCAAAATGCAACCGAACACTGAAAAGGAAAATGTTTTCTGGAAAATGACTCATTTTTCAGAAAACATTTTCCAGAAGTCATTTTCCTGCTTTCCAAACGAACCCTTAAAAGACAAGAAGTGTAATTATTTCAAATATCTATAATATAGTAATATAAATAATAATATGAGAATATAAAGGGGTGAAATATGAGCACCTGAATCACTACAACCAGAATCGGTTTGTTCTTGCTCCCTGAAAAAGCAGAACTACCATCCATGAACAACGTTATTTTTTATTTAGTAATTGGTAAAAACAACAGAACTTGTGCCTTTCTTAAAATATATAATCCCTTAGCCTAAATAAAATAGAAAACTGAAGAAAAAAAAAAATTATTGAACATAAAAGAGGCCCAAATGATAATTTTTATTCCAATCTGTTTACCATTTTAGCCTTTTTGCTTCAGTTGTATATAACAAATCACAACTCCAATCTGTTGAAACTTCCAAATCTAGAAATGTCACCTCAAATATGGAATAATGATTAGGGGCAACATTATCCATGATACTATTAGATTCATTCCACAGACTACTAAATGGTATGTAGGCAAAGCATATGAGGCGCCGATCACCAAAGGTGAAATCAAATTCTTCATTATATAGTCTGCCAATCATAATTTTTTTTTGAACAACTTTATTTCCATGTGCCAATTTGGCTATGATCTCACAATGCCTGAAAGGATGAATGTCTAGATCTGATTCCCATATCTCTCTTCCTGAAAATAGGAAACATACAACAAATCCCATGAAGCTCTGATTATACCAAGTGGGATTGAGATCAATGGAAATCTTATTTGAAGCATGAGATGAATATTTGAACCATCTCATATTAATATCGGCCTGCTCATCAGTAGTTGTGTAGGTGACAGCGAAAGGAGTGTTTCTATTTAGAAGGTCAGTAATATGACTAAACTCCTCAGCTAACACTGAGGCAGAAAGAGTTACAACTCCATGAGAGAATGAGACAGAATGTAATTCTAAATACTTGGTTGCTAGCTCAGCTATGTTGCTCTCAGAGGCCATAGTATGGCATGCATATAGCTCCCTTATATTAGCTGGGAGTTGATGTTTCCTTTCACATCTTCTGAAATCGTTGGTGCAGTCAAGGTAATGATAGTGATGGAGTCTGCTGATGCATTCAGTTAAATGCCCAATTTTAGTTGTGAGTCTTCCTGAGATCAATGAATTGAAGTCATGAGTATAAGAAAAATAATACTCCGTAATTTATTCGGTCCAAAAAGTGATATTTATATAATTAATATAATGAACATGCGCGCACATATATATAGAGACATATTTGTTGTTTTGTTATTATTGGATTGGTGTTCATAATATATATTGAGTGGATATTATGTTAAATTTTGGAATAGCCTCACACAAATGTTTAGGTATAGTTAAAGTGTACTACTTTTTTTATACAAATATAGTTAAATAAGGTAACTAATCTTATTGTTTATTTAATTTATTTTAATATTGGACATGTATATTTGACAATCATTTTTTAAACACGTGCTAGTGTTGTAATATAAGGGAGTAAAGTATGATTACCTGGAAGATTGCCATCCCAACTTGCTAGATTTGTCCACATGAAATTGGTATAGTCCTCAATTTGTACCAGGGTAATACATGTATTTGACCCAATGCAAGTAATTGATCCCATTGCAGGCAACAATGTACAAACATTTTTGGGGACTTGTAGACCATTGATGCATATCTCATGATTTACCTCATTTTCCAGGGCTTCACAAGAGACCCTCGAGATTGTGATGCATTTCTTTATCTTATTTTTCTTCCTAGAAAAATGGAAACACTAACCATAAACATTGTTTTTTATTTATCCATTCCATAAACACTACTAAACTATATGTAGAGTAGCATGGTGTATTAAAAGTAGAAGAAATAACTTGGAGGCTAAATGAGGGGAAGAAAAATGAAAACTCATTCTATTTACCTTTCATGGTATAACAAGCTACAACCCCAATAATATGCTGAAGCTTCCAGATTCACAGATGCCACCTCAAATCTTGAATAATCATTCGGGGTTACACCATCCATTGTGGTTTTAGATCCATCCCACAAACTAGTAAATGGTATGTTGACAAAGCACATGTGTCCATCAATGTAGAACCCTAATTCTTTTGATCCAACAATCACACATTCTCTTTGGAGAACTTTAATTTTATTATCTTTGTGTGATAGTTTAGCTATGATCACACAATGCTCCATATGACCATCAATGTCTTGGTAAGGGTGTGGCCTCCACATATCTCCAGTTAAAGGGCGAAAACATATAGCAAATCCCCAAAAGTTTTTACTATACCAAGAGTTACTAAGATTAATGGAGATTCCATTATGTGCCCCATAACGTCGATATTTGAATGATCTCAAGATATCGGCCTTAGGTATAGGATAGCTAAAGCTGAAAGGATTCTTTCTATAAAGTGGAAAAGGAATGAACTTCATAGCTAAAGAAGTTCCAACTTCAAATTGATCCTCACAACAGAATGAGATGGAATATAATTCCGAACACTTGATTGCTAGCTCAAATATGTTGCTTCCAAAGCCAAAATGACAATCTACATAAAGTTCTTTCATACTTGCAGGGAGTTTTGGTAGCTTTTCAAGGTTTCGACAACTTGTGATGTCAAGGTATTGAAGATTACAGAGTTTACTGAAGCTTCTAGGTAAACTGACAAAACCACTTCCTTGAAGATTCAAATATTTCAATGAAGTCAAGCCATTGAGTGGCAATGACACTATTTTCCTGCAGCATGTAATCTTGAGAACTTTAAGATTTTCCAGCTTACATAAGCCATTAGAAATGCATACCAGATTTTGACATCTAATCAAACATAGCTTAGTGAGGCCATGTAGTTGTTGAATCGATGAGGGGAGTTCTTTAATCCAAACTTCTTCTAAATCCAACTCCACTAAATCTAGCATGCTTGTTTTGATTTCGGGAAATTTTTTTAAATTTTGGCAATACCGAAGACCAAGGAACTTGAGAGATGAAACTTGATTGAAGCTGGGAAGCTTCTCAAGATCAAAGCATCCACTTAAATCCAATGAAACAAGCCTCCTAAGATTTCCAACTGATGAGTGAATGCCTTTTAATTTAGGACAATATGAAAGGTTTAATCTCTTCAAATTTGGCATCCTAGCAAAATTCGGGCTTTCTAACAAAGAGTAGGATTGCCTAAGACCTAAATAGGCCAGTTTGTCAAAGTTCTGCAAATGAAGATCAAGAATAAAACAAATTTGATGATCGAAGAAAAAGAAATAACACAAAATAGCGATGAGTCGAGTTAGTATCATATATATACCTTAGTTATCTGTAATGAAGTGAAACCATAATTCTTGAAATCAAGCCACCTCAATTCACTGCTACAAAGATAATTATCCATGTCATGGAAAATTTTGACATCACCATCAACTATGAGTATCTTCAATTTTTTCATATGTTTGAAAGCTTCAATGGCACATCTAATATTCTCATCATTGTTCCATTCATCTGTGGAGGGGAATAAAATTCCTTCAATGTGTTTAGACTTCTGAAAGAAGAAAAAAAAAGTACACACTTTAATCTTTTTAATGCAATACATAATATGAATATCAAAAAGAAACCTTCAGGTTATGTTAGCTAATTATTATTTAGCAGGACCATAATTAAACCACAACATAGCATAATCTTACTACATGCATCATCTAGGAAATAAGAAAGCACACATATGCATAAGCTTCATTTTAACTAAGTAAGTTTGCTACATCATACTGTGGAAATATATGCATGCCTTACCAAATTTCCCCTTAGCACATCCTTAACATCCTCAAGCTGCCATACCCTTCTCCTACGCTTCTCCTGTCTTGCAATATGCCAACCCATTTCTTGGATTAGATCATGCATCTCAAATTTTCCATTTTTGACTGATACAAGACATCTTTCAATGAGCAAACGTACATCACATTCAAGCGCATCTTTTACATCTTCTTCCCTCCGGTTTCTGAAAAAACATGCAATATGCAAAAACATTTCTTTGTTTTTGGAATCTAGTCTATCATAACTTATCTTAAGCTTTGCATAAATATCATTTGGGAGGGTGCCCTTGAGTTGCTTTAAAGTGATTTTCCAATCAGCATCCTTTAGTCCACAAAGAGAAGACCCCAAAACTTTAAGAGCTAACGGAAGACCCATAGCATAACTCACAATTGATAGTGAGAGTTGTTCATAACCAGTATCAGGAATTTTTTTCCCGAACGCATACCAACTGAAAAGTTGAATAGCTTCCTGGTCTACCAATGAATCTACTTCATATATATACTTCTCATCAACTCTATGGGAACGAAATACTCCCCTATTTCTTGTAGTTATTATCACTCTACTACCCTCACCAAACCAATCATGCCCTCCAGCTAATTTCTCTGATTGCTCCAGCGGATTGTCTACATCATCCAAAACAATCAAAACCTTTTTACCTGACAGCCTATTCTTGATCATCTTTATTCCATCATCCACATTGCTTATATCTACAGGTGATCTTTCCTTTAGGATTTTTTGTAAAAGGGTCTTTTGCAATTCAATGATATTACCTTTCTGTAAACTGATATTCTCAAGAAAGCAAGCTCCAACAAACTGGCTCGAAAACTTGCTAAAAACAGCCATGGCAATTGTTGTCTTACCAATACCTCCCATACCATAAATGCCAATGAATCGAACATCATTAGTTTCCAATCTCAACAAGTGACCTATAGTGTCAACTCTAGATTCCACCCCCACTAAGTTCTTTTCATGGTCTAGCAAGGGTTCATTGGATTGATTCAATCAAACAAGTATGTCGGCAGTAACTTCTTGGACACATTTTCCTACATACCTGACAACATTGAACATGAATAATTTTAACAATTTAGTTACTCAGACTTAATAGCATTATATTCAAAATATGGAACAGATCCCATTCACAAAGCCACAACACATCAATATAAAATTTACATTCTTCATCAAAAAAAGTTGCAGTTCTTTTCTTAGTGAATATCCATGGACGTCAATCGACACTAACAAAATTATTCACACCCGAGGCAACCCCGCTAAATTGGTAGAGCCCAAGGTTCAAGTTTGACTCCAGCAAGAGCGAACATTTGGCCTTCTCAATTTGAGCCTGTTAGCTATGGGCAGCACACATGCACGAGTAGTAGGTTTCTCTCTTCACCCAAAAAAAATTATTCTCACCACTATTATCTTTTCCTTTTCAAAATTAAATACAGTTACATAGAACTTTTTCTTTCATAAATACAGTAACCACTACTTGTATAGAAACTAAGCACACAAAAAACAGAGCAAAATATTAAAGCAGCAAAGATGAATGAGAAGAGGAAGTGGAAAGCAAACCCGTGATAGTCATTCTGCAAATGATGCCCTTTGAGATAGCCCGCCTTTTTCAGCGCATCCTTCCATCTTCTTATCTTCTCCTTATCATCCTTGAAAATTTGTTCAAGTTCCTTGAACGAATCTTTGAAACTTCCTGTTTGATTCCGGACATCCGAAGGATCCACGTCGTAAAAAATTGGTACTACAGTTTGCTCCTTGAACTTTTCATGGCATTCCATCATGGTTGCAAGTTCTTCCAAACACCATTTTGACGATGCATAGCCTTTGGAGAAGATTGCGATCAAAAATCTTGACTCTCGAATAGCTTTCAGTAGACTCGGAGGGATACAGTCTCCTTTCTCCAGTCGATTATCATCTTTGTAGGTCCGAATTCCTTTCAGATCTAACCAAGTATAAAGGCAATCTACAAAAGTCTTGCGAGTATCTGGGCCTCTAAAGCTCAAGAAAACATCATAAGGCCATCCCTGGATTGATTGTGAGAGTCAAAGACAAAAATGGGAATAAAATTAGATTTGTTGACAAAAATGAAATCTCTCTCTTATCTCTGACAGTGTCCACTACCGTCTCCTCTTGGGAGAAGAAGAACGCAACTGGCACATAAGAATGAGCTTTTTGCTAACGAGAGTGAAAAATTTTCCTTGAAAAATAAATAACATCAAGTTCAAAATCACAACTCTAATAAAAATGAGATTTTACAGCATAAAAGAATCACAATATTCACTATTAGCAGAATAGCAGTACTCAGCTCAAGAAACCACATCAGTAAATAAACAGTACCATAAATATATTTACACACGGGCAGATTAAGATTATCAGAGAACCATGCCTGAGCGACGGGGCGGTGATCCGGGGCAGCGTCATGGTGGACAATCTCCTGGATTTCCTTGGAAACGACTGGGGTGAGCTCGGCGGCGGCGGCAACAGGGTGGGAGGAGCGGCGACGCCACGCTGTGATGCAGAAAGAGAGGAGGAATAGAATGACAACTGTAACGGCTCCAACAAAGATCCCAATCACCAGTTCACCACCCATAGCTTCAGTCCAAAAATCGAAGTCAGCTTCGAAAGCTCACTGTTCACAAACGCCGCATCGTACACCGGCATCTTCACCTAAAACACACAGCGAACACCCCACTCCGGGATCATGTGTATTCGCTCCGATTTGCTATGGCCGCAATTTGAATTCCTCTAAAACATCCAGGAACTCATTAAAAGGAGGATTAAACTGGCGGATGTTGAAAAACTGAAAAGCGTATGATCATATCAACAAACTAAGCTACCCGAGAGTATTAATCTGTTAATATAGGCGCGCGTGAGTTTGTACAAGTCGTTTCAGTCAACTCGGGAAATTTCTTTGGGGATTCAGTCACATTTTGTTATTAGAGCATCCACATTAGTTGGGGAGATTTGAGAGATAATGTAAGAGTGATTAGGAAAGAGACTGTGGAAGGGGAGAGAAAAAAAAAGAAAAAAAAATAACAAAACAAAATTTAAAAAAAAAAATAATATAAATCTGTCACGTCAGGCGCACTGACAGCGCGCCTGACGCGCTACACGGGCGCTTGCATTGCACGCGCCTGTGTAGACAATGGCTGTGTTTTTTTTTTTTTTTTTTCTGACACCAACCCTTAACTTGCAGGATAAATATCTCCCCAAATAACCCCACCCCACATTTGTTATTATTCCCACCCAAAATAGTTCATCTGACATTATCTCCCTAATATCCACTGATGTGGATGCTCTTAGCTGGCGACCGCTTAAAACTTACAAGCAATAATTAAAGGGAAAATGGCATCTTTTGTCTTTTCTAGGAGAGGGTAGCATACTTAGCATAGATCCCTAAATTTTATTCCAAAAATCAATTAAGCTCTTAAATTTTAAAAAAAAAATACAATTAAATTCTCAAATACGTTAAATTGGGTCAAGAAGCCCAAAAATTAATAAATAACATTGTGAACAAAGAAAATCGAATAAAATATTGTAATATTCAAAATTCTGGTTACATCGAGTTTCAATGCGGTGTGGGTCTGATTCTTCGATTGATGCCTTGAACACTCCACCATTGAAGGGCATCCGGGTTTCTAGTGACTTGATCTTCAAAGAAGGGCTTGTATATATAGCTTGTTCTTCTTGAAGGGCCTCCGGGTTCAAATGGCTTGATCTTCAATAGAGGTTTGGATCAACAGGCATGATTGGATTGGAGGAGGTTTGGATCAACAGGCATGATTGGATGGAGGTTTGGATCAACAGGCATGATTGGATTGGAGGAGGTTTGGATCAACAGGCATGATTGGATTGGAGGAGGGGTTTTTACTTTCAGGATCACATTTTTAAATGTTTACATGATTTTTTCATAGGATGTGTCTAATTATATAGAAATAAGATGTGCATTCAAAAAAAAAAAAAATATAGAAATAAGATGTCCTATTTATAGATGTAGGATAGAGAGTTTTGATAAGCTCAAACTCTTTTGATATTATCTAATTAACAAATTAGATAATATCAATATTATCCATAAATATATTCAAATATACTTATATTGATAAATAATCAATATTTATCAAAATTTAAGTGTCTACAAATGTCCCCTCGAGACTTACTTGTACACCACTTGAGAGCATATAACACTCGAAAGTATGTAGTGCAAGAAAGTCTCGACACTACAACTTAAAGATATAAGGTCGTTTCAACTCGTGCCAAGAAGCCTTGAAAAATATGAGGCTATTTAAACTCGTGCCAAGGAGTCTGAGGCCGTTTAAACTCGTGCCAAGGAGTATCATTTAGCCTCCTCCGTTTCAAATTTCATACAGGGTTTGCCCCCATATCGGTTGAAAGTGTCTATGAAGAGATGAGAGGCAGAGCTGTCCCACTGGGCGTGCCAATTTGTGAACAAAGAAAATCGAATAAAATATTATAATATTCAAAATTCTGGTTACATCGAGTTTCAATGCAGTGTGGGTACAAGTCTCTGGATGGTCCTCTGATTCTTCGATTGATGCCTTGAACACTCCACCATTGAAGGGCCTCCGGGTTTCTAGTGGCTTGATCTTCAAAGAAGGGCTTGTATATATAGCTTGTTCTTCTTGAAGGGCCTCCGGGTTCAAATGGCTTGATCTTCAATAGATGTTTGGATCAACATGCATGATTGGATTGGAGGAGGGGTTTTTACTTTCAGGATCACATTTTCATTGTGATCTCTGAATAATATATATTTCTAAATGTTTACATGATTTTTTCCTAGGATGTGTCTAATTACATAGAAATAAGATGTCCTATTTATAGATGTAGGATAGAGAGTTTTGATAAGCTCAAACTCTTTTGATATTGTCCAGTGGAAAACGACCGAATGACAGGATTTTATCGCCGGTAGTCGGATTTTTTTTGCCGGTAGCGCGGTCGTCGAAATTAAAATGACCTATAATAACATGTCATTTACGTGTTTTTAGGTTTCATTGACCCAATATGACATGTTTGAGGGTTTAATTGCACTTTTTAAAAATTTAGGGGCCTAATTGATACTTGGGGTAAAGTTTAGGGGTATATTTGACCCATTTCTAATTTTTTTTAGCAATACAAGAGGAGGGGGACCCAACTACGGGTGATCGCGGTTCCAGTTCCAGTTTAGTTTCGGTTCCGATTTCACAAATGGAGAAATCGGAACCGAAATCTTATATTAAAGTTCCGGTTCCTATTGAAACCGCCGGTTCTAACAGGAATTATAAAAAAAAAAAAAATGTTTTTAGTTTTTGTCCAATGGCCATGCTATTGGCGTTTGGTCTAGAATTTTAATCTTTTCAAATTTCAACTTCATTTTATTTTTTTTACAGTTTGGAACCGGAACTGTCCGGTTCTTTTATTACACAAACCTTAACCGGAACCGAAAATGTACGGCCGGTTCGGTTCCGATTCCGATTATACAATGCACGGTTACGATTCGAACCTCTGGTTCGAATCGAACCGTCTAACCATCTCAAGAATGAGACGATCACAAACAACTAGGGAAAATTGTATCTTTGATCTTGATCAGTTATAGTCAAGTTCTTATTTAATCATAACTGAATAATCGTATTCATTTATTATTTTCTAGTTATTAATGAAGTCGTGAGTTTTGTCTTCAATGTTAGGTTTTCGTCTCTACTTGATAGAAAATTCAAAAATCTCATATTATTGGAAGATAAAATATAAAGGAAAAATGACATTTTTTTCCATGTGATATATACTTATAGCACTTTTTTCCCCGGAATTATTCAAGTGGTAATTTTTTTCCCCTAATATGTAAATGGGCATATTTACCCTTAAAATAAATATTTCATTTATTTTTCTTCTCCAACAAATTATAACCACAATTTAGTTCAAATGTGAAAAAGAACATACAGTATTTGCAAATATTAGAATTCTATGATGAAGTGATGCAAGCTGAACATGGTGAAGTGGTGCATCATGCTGTGTGGACACAAGCTGGAACATCACAAGCTTTCCAGAGGAGGGCTTTTTAGTCTTTTCATCCTGCTTAGTTAGTTATAACCGTTTTTGGCTCCCTTTTATAATGCTAGCTTATCTTCTTCTTTGGTTGTAATGACATACACAGAACTCTCCGTTTTCTCAAGTTTACATCTCCATCTATGCTTCTTCTTTTTCTTTTCCCTGTTGTTCGTATGATCCAAGGCAGCTCATCATGGTATCAGAGCTACGCAGAAGCTACGCCGGAGCTGTGATAGTTGGAGCAGACGGCAATGGAAATGGATCGGAACACGCAGGAGCAGGAGTCTCCTCAGCTTCAACCAATCACACACAGCGAAACGATGATTTTGATGATCCGTTGTACTTACATATTACGGAAAATCCGAATTTGTGCCTTGTTTCGCCTCCGTTAACCGAGCTCAACTACTCATCTTGGAGTAGATCAATGAGGATCGCACTGGAGGTTAAAAACAAGTTTGAATTTGCAACCGGGAGCATTCCGAGTCCAGCAGAGAATGATCCGAAGATCGGATCGTGGAAGAGATGCAACCGCATTGTGAGTTCATGGATTTTGAGATCCATCAGTCCTGACATAGCAGAGAGTGTAATGTACTTCGATAAAGCCTCGAATATATGGAGTGCA